TGGCACAGACCTCGTCACCTTTTCGGGACCGAAGAACCGCGTAAAGTTTATTTTAATAATGCGTACGTAGAACGAGCGCGTCGCGCTTGCTTCTCCGACACGGCCTTTTCTATTTCGGCATTTCTTCCTTTTCGCTCGAATCTTTGTCGAAACGAAAACAAAAAAAATAAAGAAAAAACAACATTGGATACCTATATAATTTCTTTGCGTTTAGATTTGATCAACGGTTGATATAATATATCGTAGAAAAAATATTTTATCGTTTTGTATAAATATTTTTGTGAAATATACATTTTCGTTCCACAACGTGTGTTTGAAATCATTTTAAATGATATCTATGATGATCTGTTGTCTTGATGATTTATTATAACTATGAAGGTTTAATATGGTGGTCTTCGATTTTTAGGATAATTTTTCGTAAAGTATTTCTTTTGATCGTTCCAAGTTTATTTTAATACAATCAGCGTGTGCATATTATCGAAAAGCTAATTTAACGAGACGCATAAATTTTCGAGAAAGCATGTGCCAAATTTATATTACAAAATTTTAAATAACGTTAGTTAACAGATCTTTTTGTTTTGATATTTTATTGTTACATTGTAGATTATACGATATTTCGATTTCTAAATTAATTTTTCTTAAAGTAATCTTTTCTAAATTATTTCTAAATTTTGTTTGTTTTAATTAAATGAACAATCACATATAAACAAGAAAAACAATGTAACGGAACGCATGAATTTTCAAGACAATTACTACAAAATATTTCTTGAAAAAATTTTTAATAATAACAACGATCTTGTTATCTTATTAATTTATTGTAAAAATGAAAATGAATAGATAGTGTCGATTTCTTAGCTAATTGTAAGCAAAATAACTTTTTTCTCGATTATTTCGAGTTTATTTTAATAAAGCGAACGTATATAATATATTAACGTCGCTGGTAACATCATCGTTGGTCTTTTTTAATCTCGTCTTTACTCCTTATCCACCTGAATCTCCGTACGAAGGAGAAACAAAGAGAGTGAAAGAAAGGAGGGGTGGCAGGGAAGGGATGCTTGCCTCGCTCCGACATTATTTTTTTCGTATATTAATAGTTGAGGATCGATTAATTGATTTCTGATGTAAATAAATAAAAACCAAAGAAAATATAGAAGACTTGTGCGTGTAATAATAAAAAAATATAATACAATGAATAACTTAAGGAAAATAATTAAAATTTTTAGTTAAACGACGGACAACTAATTAACGTAAAATTTAAGTAAAATATAATACACACGAAAACGGGGAGAATTATTGAACGATATCGGGATGGTCTACTATCTTCTTGTACTGTTTCATGTTATTAAGAAGTACTATACAGAATGAACTGTTCGAAATAATATCGAAATAATTCCATTCATAAGTATCGCTCGTTTTAATTATTTCTAATTCTACAAAACTCTTTATCGACAATATCACGTTTTTTTTTTTAATTTGTTATCAATTAATTTATTTTCTTAAATAACGTCATCTAAAGGGATCAACTACCAAGTTTAAATTGATCCTGAATAGAAAGAAAATTATGAGCGATAAAAAAGTTAGGAATAATAAAAAAAAAGTGTTAAGAAGTGTTAAGAAAAAGAGTGCGCTTGCCGTATGTTCGTACGTTTCGATTGACTCTGTGTGTATGTGTATCTGAAAGAGCGAAGCGAGAAAAAAAAGAGGGAAGAAAAAGAAAAAAAAATCAAGTTTTAATTTAATATTAAAAAATAAAATCGAAATAAAATGAAAATAAATAATACCATTATTTAAATTAAGAAATAGAAAAAAAAACCGTAATAATTGTGATCATTGTAATATAATTTTCAAAACAACGATATATTTATTAGTTTATCGATAATGCCATATATAATAATTGATAATAATGATTAAAATACATACATTAAAAGTGAGCATCTTTTTAAAGAACGTGGAATTTAATTAAATTTTAATATTAATAAATAAACACAAAATATATATATATTGCAAATAAATGTTATCATTACTTAAACAAAGAAATTGCAAAAAACCGTAATAATTGTGATAATGTAATATAATTTTGAAAAAACAATGATATAATATTAGTTTATCGAGATAATGTCATATAATAATAATTGATATTAATGATTAGATAAACATTAAAAGTGATCAACTTTTTAACGTGGAATAACTAAGGTAGTAATATCGCGTATTCAGAAACATTCTCGCCGATTTTCCGAGCGCGTCTCGAGAGTAAGAGAACTCCTACTATTTATAAATTGGTTTGAACCCGGTCGCATTGGCGATCCTCGTCGTCGTGCGCGGCGCGTTCTGGTGCGGCTCAAGCAAACGGGCTAAGCCTTCGGTCCCGAGCTGCTCGTGCTGCCTCGTGGAACCTCGCGTGGGGAACAATTCGCCACCCCATGATAAAAATAGAAGCTCCTAGCCAGCTAGTCCAAGCTCCGACCTAGGAAAGAGAGGAAAGGAAAGACAGAGAAAGAGAGAGAGAGAGAGAGAGAGAGGGAAATCTAGTGAATGCGAGTACGAGTGAGTGTGCGAGGAGTAAAAGAGAGAGAGAGAGAAAGCTACTGAATACGAGTTATAAGTGTATTAGTAGAAGAGGGAAAGAAAAACAATGATATTCAAATGAGAAAGATAGATGATAAAGAAATAATACAAAAGCTAAAGATATAGATAGAACAATGAATATATGATTATACATAATAATAAAACCAGGAAAGAAATCAAGCAGAGTATGATTCTCAGAGTTAGAAAGAGAGTGTAGAATTTGAATATGGCTAAAGATCGATAGATCGGAATAAACGTTTGGTAAGATCCAACATAAACGACGTTAACGAAGAAACGAAGACGACGCACCGGCGCGGCGCACCGGTGGTAGCCGATGCTGCTGCTGCTACTGGCACGTTTCGATGCCGTCTTTCCATCCCTCTCTCTCTCTCTATTTCTTTTTCTTTCAGCCGAGAGCTTTCAGTTCTTCGTCATCCGTCGTCTTCGACGCGAAGAAAGTGCGTCCGTTTCTTTGGCGAAGCACACGCGAGATTAGTAATAAGCCTCGCTAAGATCGATCTTATGTTAGTTCGTCATAAACGCCGGCGTTAAACAGTTTACGTACCTGCTGCCGCTTCAAATATATACATTCCCAATTGAAAAGAAAAAATAGAAATGAATGATTAAATATAGGGGAGAGTTAAATTAATGATTTATATCGATTGGAGTTTTCTTTTGGTACGGGTTTCGAAGATGGTTTTTCTTTTTTCTTTTTTTTTATAATTAGTGCTGGTGTTTCTAATGAAGATGATGTGAACCATTTTGATAAAGAAAGATATATATACAAAAATATATATATATATATATATATACATATGTGTATGTGTGTGTGTATATATATATATGTTATAGATAGATAATCGAGAAACATAGAGAGCGCGCGCGCGTGAGAGAGAAAGAGAGAGAGAGAGAAAGAGGCACATTCCGAGCGGATCACGGATGCTTATAGAAGCGTTGCGTAACGGCGTCAGACGAACAGCGAAATTGCGGCGGCTGCGGCAGCAGCAGCAGCGGCTACCGAAGCGCGTCGAGCTTCGGCAAGATCGAAAAAAATTGTAGATCATTATCTTACGGTGCCCATAAGGTGGTGGTGTCCATACGAAAGAAAAATAAAATTCGAGGAGGTAGAAGGAGGAGAAGGTGGAAAAAGGATTTTGTGCGAGTTAAAAGTGGATCATCATCATTGGTGTCACCTAAAACAGGATCGGATACAAGGTGTTCTCGTGATCTCGATCAGGGATCGAGGAGAGGAAAGGAGAGAGAACCCTGGCCGCGTGTGAGAGTGCGCGAGTGAGTGAGCAACGACCTGTCGTCGTCCAAGAAGAACACGAAAAAAACCTTCGAGTTGCTAGGGTATGTTAGATTAGCTTGCTCCGAGGGGGTTCTCTAAGTGGACAGGTAGAGAAGATTGGGGTTGTTAGATACGAGCAGAGGAACAAGCTGTTTCGTATAAAATGAGATAGAAAGATAAAGAATGAGAGAGAAGTGAGAGAGAGAAAGTAGATGGATATATCCCTTTGGTAATATCAATTCTGCTGGTGTCTCGAAACGTTTCAAGGCCAATCTTCGTCCCTCGATCTACACATTTATTGACACACGCACGTCCGCACACTCGAAACGCGATAGAGAATTAACGCGCGCGCACACGCATACGTATAGGTAGAATTGTCAATTTTGTTTATTTTATTCCGATCGATTGTTCGTATTTTGCATCGATATAAGTTGATCACTTTCACAGGATAATCTCATAATGATATCGCTCGGGCTATCTTACCGCGTGATTAATAGCCTCAATCTAATGGCCCGTGGTAATATAACGTCGGTTAATCCAACTACTTATTATTACATAATTTTTGCACTTTTTCGAATAGAATAGAATATCTCGAGATTGTGGTCTAGAAAACTGATTCAATTTGCACAAAAGACCGGGAGATTAAGTAATAGAAGCAAAAGAGGGTAATTCTCATGTTTAGGTATCGTAAACGGGGGTGGTTGTTGTTCGGTTATCCTACAAAGATTTAAGAGAGGAATTTAGCGAAAAGGAAGAAGAGGAAGAAAATAAGGAAGAGGAGTGAGAGAGAGAGAGTGAGGGAGTGGGTGAGGGAGAGGGAGAGAGAGAGGGAGAGAGAGAGAGAGAAAAGAGGGGATAGCGATAGTAGTATTAGTGCTAATAGGTGTTGGTGGTGGTGGAGGTGGAGAAGGATGGAGCAACGTCCAAGGAGACGGGGAACATACGGACGTTGCTGACGAGGAAGGAGCGAGAAGAGGAGGAGGAGGAAGAGGAGGACGAGGAGGAGGAGGAACAGGAGGGGGAGAGGAAAAAGAAGAAAAGGAAGAAAAAGAAAAAGACAACTACAACTATAACGACGACGACGACGACGACGACGACGACGACGACGACGACGACGACGACAACGACGAGGACGACAACGACAACGACGACGACGACGACGACGACGAGGACGAAAAAGAAGAAGAGAACGAAACCGACGAAATTAAAGAGACGAACGACGGTGCGTGCGACAGCCACGAGACATGCAGCAACAGCAACAGTCCGGACAGCAGCAACAGCAATCCGGAGCACCGAACGGGGTGGCGGGTGGTGCCCAATTGCCTCAAACAGGTGGCGTCAGTCCTGCTCAGCCCGGTGCGACTGGCACGACTACTGCTAGGCCACAGGTGAACGGTGGTAGATTCGACTTCGACGATGGTGGTACTTATTGCGGGGGATGGGACGATGGCAAAGCTCACGGGCACGGTGTTTGTACCGGACCCAAGGGACAGGGTGCTTATTCCGGTAGCTGGCACTATGGATTTGAAGTCTCTGGTGTTTACACTTGGCCAAGGTATGATATTTTTCTTATCCTCCTTTAACTTTTGTCAAAACATTCACACGTGTCTTTTTGTTGAAAACCATTTAGTCTTTATAAATCTGACTCATTTTCCATCATGGATTCTTTTCCTTTTGTTGGTTTATCTTACGTTAATCGTGGAAGAATAATAGAATTAACTTGAATAGGTTTTCTTTCGAAATATTACCTTTCAAAATTCAACTTTGTGTATGTGGTACGCGATAACACTAGTCCGTGAATCTTGTTGAAAGCTTTTATGGATCCTTCTTCTTTTTAAGAATCCCTATTATCGATTTTATGCTCATTGGACTAGTTCTAACTAGATTGAAAATTGTTATGCCTTTTCGACTATCGTTGAAGTCGTTAAAAGTTAACAAAGCGTTCCTCATTTTCCATTACCTAACTTTATTTCGACGGAATACTGTAAAAACCGTGACGAAATGACGCGCTCGTTGTATCGCACAACAGTGGTGTGTTTCGAAGCAGAACGAAGGCACTTCTTCGTTCGTTCGTTCGTGATGAGCGACCTTGACACATATCTCTGTATATACCTGAAGCACGGGCAATCTCCTGATCCTGAAAGTGGGTCATAAAGTACAAGGACACCGCATCCGGATCAGCAGGATTTCATCCGCAACAAAATATCTTTATCTCTTTCTATCTATCTTGTTCTCTCTTTTACTTTAAGCGTCGTTAAATTTCAAGCTTTTAAATACTTTGATTCGAATGTCGAATAATTTTCTTGTAAATATTTAAGATTTCGCTAAAGATTTTTTTTAATGGACGAAAAAAAAGCGGAAAAAAGAAGAAGAATACGTGGAAGTAAAGGAAGAAGGGTTAAAAAGAAAATGGAAGTTTGCTATTGGCATGCAACGATATCGACGAGTTTTTTCCACAAGCACGACTGAAACGTTTTTAATAAGCTCGACCTAAATGATTAAGCTTTCCGAGTATCGTGTATATGAGAGAGAGAGAGAGAGAGAGAGAACTAGTCATCAACTAAAAAATATACCACTCACTTTTCTTCCACCGAAATTGGCCAGCTCGAGCAACGGAAGAATGCACACTCGGTGCTAATTATATTTAGATCGATGATTAGCTGTCACCGTGAAAAAGAAAAAAAATACTCACTTCGTATTTCGAACGATAGATCTTCATTAATTTTACCACCACTCGAATAATAACGAATACAAATCGAAGATCGATAAAGAAGTAAAATATCCAACTTCATCGACCTTATTACTAATGGATGAAACTCGGGGAAAGATTTACTACGTTCTCAGTTAAATGAATTGGAACAACAATAAAGACCTTTTTATTTTTGTCGTAAGAATACTTCAGATAATTGTTCGTCGAGTAAATAAGAAAAAATGAGGAATGAATATTGAGAACAATACCACGACGTCACGATACGAATTATGGTTGTTAACGTCTAACAGTTTAACAAATTCTTATCGTGATATTTACATCGATCTATGCAAGTTACAGTATATCTTAACAATTATAAATAATTCTTTTCTGCAAGCGCTACCATTAAAACGACGTCATATAAACCGTTAGCAATTAACAGGATAACGTTAGATGATATCTTCGTTTGTATGCGACACAAACATTAATACGAGATGCTGTTTATAAGCACTCAGGTCACGCACACGAACGTTAAAAATCCTACGAAATGGATAAATGGAGGAAAGGTAATTTAGAACGAGTTAGAAGAAGGGTAAGATTACGATCGTGATATGAAAGATAAAATCGATTTTTTTTCCTTTCCTTCTATCCTTGCCCTCTCTTGTCACCCCGTCCCCTGATCCTCGATTCCACCCCTCAAACCTCAGTGGTAGAAAAAAAAATCATATTGAAAACGAAACGAGACGCCGCTGTTAACCCATTTGCATCCGCAAGCAGTATAATCCAAGCACGATGACTATCATTTATCATCGAGCGTGGAATAATCCAGCAAGTGAAGAATTTCATTTAACACCAAGGACTGGAATAATCCGCATAAGTGTTGTGAACAATACGTAAATAAAATTTGAAACTTTTAGTGCATCATCTTAAAATTAGATTTCCAGTTAAGCCATTCATTTGCCAAATTGATTTTTTCCATAAAATTAAAAGTAGAGAAAATCGATAAGAATACATATATTTGTTCAATAGTTACGCAAAATGTAATCAAATCAATCAAAAGTAGGGGATTAATTAAATGCACTGACAATAAAATTAAAAAATCATTTTTAATATCGTTTTTGTTTGTGAACTGCATAATTGTTGGTATAACGAAAAAAAAATTTTGTTTGGGTTAACAATTTTTTTGTAAAATAAATATATAACTTTTAGCGTCAAAATTTGATTCAGATATTAATGAAAATTAAATGACAAAAAAATTAAAACATAATGTATATATTATAATTTCCAAATAAAATGGGAGATAATAGGAGCCCCCGCCGAGTGTCAGTTCAGTTTATAAGTGTCAAGTTTTATTTATAAAGCTTAAGATTATAATTTAAAATTATGATGTAAATGGTTTTAAATCGACGTGTTTGAGTTAAACCAAAAATCATTTCAAATCGTTCAAAGTCGTAACGTTTCCGGCTTCTTCCTTGTTAGGAGTAGAAGAAGAAGAAGAAGAGGAAGAGGAGGAGGAGGAAGAGATCGAGTAAAAGATGAAAAAAGAGAAAAAATAGGGAGCATAGAGGGAGGGTGGGAGAAGGATGAAGATGAACGGAGAAATAAAATAAAAAAAAGGGAAGTAAAAGAAGGGGAGTGAAGAGAAAAGGGGAAAGAAGAACGTCGCGTCGTATCTAGGCCGAGGGGAATCCGTCGTTTCGTTTCCGTTTTAACTGGAGCAAGGTCGTCGTTCCACGTTTTCCTAGGGAGCGTCCGATAAATCTTCTCGTTTCTCTTCTTCTTCATCGTTCAGAATCGAAATCAAAAAACACTTTTTGCGTTCTAATCCTAGCAAACGAAATATTTACGATTTACGATCATTTTTTATATCAAAATTATCAAATGATTAGTTAATGTTTATTACAAACATTTTTTTTTATTTTTCAAAATATTCCTGACGTTTAAGTAATAAAATCCAGAGTTGTCATTGGTATTAACTTATTTTGGATATGAAAAAATGTCCGATGGTCAGGTCAATTATTTTTTTTAAATGAAAAACAATTTTTTTGTAGTGTAAATATTTATATTTTTGTAAATAATATTTTATTTTTTCTGCACTAGGATCAAATAAAAATTTAATAATATTGTTAATCAAGGATTATTTTCCTTGTATTATACATTTAATTATTAATCAGTCATTTTGACTGATTTGATAAAAATACATTCATTATTAGTAATTAATTAAATTATTTATTAATAATCTCGCAATTAATTCTTAATTTTGAATTTTAACGAGTATCAAGAAGTGGTATCATTTGTTTAACCAATAAAAACCTTTGTTACTTTCTATCAAACAATTAAATATTTTTCATAGCCCAAGATACAGATAAGATAATATTATTGAATAATTTGAATTTTATTGTTTCATTATCAGCAGTATTTCACGAGCTTCAAACATTCTAATTTTTCGTAAATTTTTATTTTATAAGTAGAAATATTAAGAAAGAGAATCATTGAATTTGCTGTAAATATTCTTTTTATTTTTTGTTCTTCATAATGTTCCTTTCTTTTCCAAGCATTAGATATTTTGCATAACTCAAGATAAAGATAAAATAACTCTAAAGAATAATCTAAATTTTATTGTTTCGCCGTAAGCAATATTTTACTTCTAGTTTAATTCTATTTTTTCGAGTTTTGTTTCCAACGACGCGTCAAAGGCTGATTGTTAATCGCTTGGAAACATTTGACGTTCGAATGGTGACCCTAATGTAATATTGAGCTTGGCATATCACACCAGTTTATTTTCTCTTTAATGCTAGGAAAGCACACGGGTCGTAGCCTTCTACGCTTTTTGTTGAACGAAATGTGTTCTAGAAAAAGATTCGACTAATGATCTCGACAATAAAAGAAGGGAAAAAATCGATAGATTAGTAAAAAATAATAACATCTAACCGTTTGTTCTGGTGAAACATTTTTCAATAATTTTCCTCCCTTATGCGAATCTAAATATCTTTTTTTTTTAAGTCCTTCTGCATATTTAAAGGGTATTTTACTGTAAACATTTTTTTCTTTTTTTTTTTTTTTTTCTTTTATTTTAATAGTATTATAATACAAAAAGGTATTATAGTTTTAAATTCATTTCTTCACAAATTTTTCATAACTTATTTATTGCTGTTAAATAATTGAACAACTTTTTTAATGTCAAAATTTAATTCATATATTTATCCATTTATCAAAAATATTTTTAAACATTTAATTAAAAATATAAATTTGTGATAATACAAACGTTTTTCTTCTTCGCTAAACAAATATTTTCCTATTGCATCTGTGATTTCAGCTATATTGCTAATTAGAAATATAAAAATAATTATTAGAACGAGTTTGACTCTACCTGGTAACGAAATAAAAGAAAATAATCGTTAATAAAAGGAATAATGGACACCTTGAAAATTAATTATTAATTGCCATACTTTTTGTATCCTAAGTAAACGAAAATCATAAGAAAGAAATACAGATTTTGAATTTATTTTTGCTCGTGATTTAATTTCACTAAAAATGTTAAATATAAATTTTAAACCTACAAAATCAGTAAGCAGATTTTATAATATCGTAATGGTCATTTTTAAAAACACGGTATTGAGAAACTGCATGAATTTTACCTTACAAAATCCACCTTACAACTTTGTCGAAAACTTTGGTAATTTGAATTTTTAAAAGAATATTCTTGAAGAAAATATAAACATAAAAATCTATTTGTTTCAAATGTCAACGGTAAAATACGCCGTAAAGCATAACGTCTTTTCACGCTTCTTTTCGTAACAAATTCATATGAAAAGATTTCGTTTTTAAATGAAGGAAACCCGTTTATAGGATAAGCGTAAATGAACTTGACATATTACCAATTAACAGAAACATAAGTTCGAACATAAA